CATACAGCTCAATCGATATGCGATCAATATTTTATGCATAATTCTGCTATTAGTACTTTTGCTCTTGTATTTCTTACCTACTGCTGCATCCTGCTACATTCCTTCGCGCGCGACGCCCCTCTCACCGCGACGCGACCATTTGGTCCCTAATGCACCACACCCCTCAATTACCATTCATTATTCGAGAGGTAATCCAGACAAAAGAGCAAAACGCTGATCAGTCTAACAACAGCAGCTGAACCCAGCTAATCCTGTTGAATCGAAGCCCAGATCCGGGCCACCCGATCAGGTAACAATGAAACCAAGATCAATAAATCGGTCCACAAGTGGAAATAAGGCCCTTATGAGTTTGTTGATTAATCTCGCCCTGACTGCGGTGTCATTCAACGAATATGGGAGATATATATGAAGTGTTCTGGGAAAGAAGTTTATCCTGGTAATTAACTATTGACCACTTTTTTTCTGAATCACTGTCTATTTTCAGGAATGCGAGTCACGACCAACAGAAGCAGAATCAGAAATGAGACTGCGTAATGCCGCTGAGCGTTTGGTCACAGTAACAAACGAGACGACCAGTGAGCAACAGGCAAAGCACATCATGGAGAAGCTCGAGCAAGCTGCACGTCAAACGGCCTACGAGGCAACGCAGACGATCGCTGCTGTCAATGCAGCAAAGGTAAATCCTTGATCTTTCATGTGGCATGCAGTGTTAGAACAGCCTGGTTAGTTAGTCTGGTGGTTGGTCTCCGGAAGGAGAAGCTCCTGTTGTAGACGTCCCGTTGTGACGCTTCTCTTTTGACTACCTGCGTAGTGAACCTCAATAAACAGCCACAGCTTTATGTATATCGATATAAATTGCAAATGGAATTGCTGTGGCTGAGTACTGTAGTTCCTACTCGACAGCAAACTTCAAGGAAAAATAGGATTCACGGAAAATCGTGAAGTTTGGTATATTACAGTGTTTTGATGTATGAAAATTGTGACGCCAGAATTTCGGCTCAGAGTTCATTTTTTTCCATTCAAAAAGAATTTTGAAAGGGAGAAGACCATTGCCTAGAAGGTTCTGGTGGCATAATTCTCAAATTGTATCTTGAAATATTATCACATAGCTCAGAAGATGAACTTCATGTATCACAAGTCAC